CTTAACAAGTTATTATTAGAGAATAACATTTTTTTCTGCTTTCTATTTCTTTTCTGCTAAATAAATCCAGTATTCATGAATATAATTTGTATGCAATGTTCAGGAATTAATCAGCAAGACATATGGAATCCAGGGGGAAATTTGAAGTTTCTCTCCACTGATTGCTTATTGGTTGCAGGGGGTGGGGTTAGTAACTATGGAGTCAAAAGACTGGCACGGGTTAGCCAGGCTCTTATAATACCAATGTGAGCCAGAGAGGTAATATTTTTCTCCAGATAAGATATCCTAAGAAAGAAACATTTTATGGTATTCTAGCTGGGTATGCATAACATAAATCTAATAAAAATAAAACTAAAGGGCCTCCCCGGTGGCACAGCGGTTGAGCACTGGGTTGCGAAGCTGCCCGCAGCCTCTGCAGCGCCGGTTCGATCCCAGGCCACCGGGCGAGGGTCCCACATGGCGCGCAGACCTCTCCTGCCGCCCAGTGCTCCCCTCAGCAGTGCACTTTGTCAGTCTGCCTGTTCTGCTCTCCCCTCTGGCTCTGATGAATTCTCTCACCTTCCCACGCTTCTGACTGTACCCCAGTGCTTGTATAAATAAATAAATAAATAAATCTAAAAAAAAGGTATAAATAAATAAATAAAAATAAAACTATGACATAAACACAAATTAAGAAACCACCAAAAATCTCAATATGAAGGAAAATTTAACACTTCAAAGAAGACACATAGGTGACCTATAAAATAGGGTCAACATCATTAGTCAGAAGGGAAATGCAAATTAAAACCACAATGAATCATGACTACACATCTGCTAGAAACATTAAAATTGAAAAAAACTGATCAGTTTAAGTGTTGGCTGGAAATTGGAGGATCTGGAACTTTCCTGAAATGTTATTGGAATATAAAATAGTTCAACCACATTTCTTAAGTCTAACATACAGCTACCATGTAATCCACATGTTCCTTTACAGCTCTTTACCTGCAGGGTAAACATGTTCACACAAGACTTGTACATGACTGTTCATAGCTTCACATATAATTACCAAAAACTGTAAACAGCCAAAATGTCCTTCAACAGGTGAATGTATAAAGAATCGACAATATATACAAAGGAATACTTCTCAATAACAAAAAGGAATAAATTATTGATACATGCATCAATATGGATAAATTTCAAAGTAATTTTGCTGAAAAAACAGTACATTCTATATAAATCTCTAAAAATATAAACTAATCTAGTGACAGTAAGCAGATGAGTGGCTGTATGCAGAGCAGGGAAGTGAGTAATTGGGCGAGAGATTACAAAGGGACAGACATGTGGAAATTTGTATTCGGACTTCAAAACTTACAAAATTATATGATGGAGTCATATAATTATATGATTTAATTATATTATAATAATTATATACAGCTTGTTGTATGGCAATTTGACTCAAAAAGGTTTAAAAATTAGAACCCTATTAAATGGAAAAATAAGTGTTTACATCATAAATGGCTCTAAAGAACATTATTGGGACAATTGATGAAAATGGAATATGAATTATACATTAGGTGAAATATTAAACCAACGTTAAGTTTCCTGAAATTGTGTAATCATGCTTAGTCACATTAAATATTCAACTTGTTATTAGGAAAAATATACTCTTTCCAAAAATTAACCATATGTATATATCTCTATGTAACATGTATTTATCTCCATATATGTGTGTATATAAATATATTTTTATATGTATAGAGAAATTTCTTCTTGAAAATAATTATGCTACTATTGAGCAAAACAAATGTGCCACAATAGTAAGAATTAGTGAATCTGATTAACATAAACAAAAAAAATACTATAGTAACCTTCGGTGAGTAAAACAGGAGAGGAGAGGGCTGGTAAAAAGGTTCATATATTTATCGTTTTAATCTCTTTAATTTTTAAAATCCTTGGCGTCTTTATTAAGACTTTTTAAAACCACCACGGTATTAGGTATTAGGTTGCACCTGCTTTAAATATTCCAGATTGTAGTTCTCTATGGGGAATTCTTGGATCATCACATGATTTTGACTCCATTCATTTTGGGAGTAGTCAAGATCCCAGATTCCATTCCATTAAATATGGACTTGTACAGACTGGGTGATCCTCCATTCAAACATCAGCCTTGCATTTCCTCAACTTCTACAAGAAAATCTGTCCTCCACCAGCTCAGTAGCCACTAACGACCAACAGCAGAGAAGACCTGCACTCCAGGTACGGGTCAGGAAATAACCTCAAATTCACTACCACTCAACATCGTACAAAAGCTCAATTAAAATATAATTATTGATAGTGGCCTGCAGGTTCCAAAGTCCATTCTTTCCTCTAAATAGCCTAAAATGTTTTCCTAAATTAAGCCTGGCCAGCAGAGATCCACAAACCTGACCACATCTTCTGAAATCCCCACCTCTACAGAATTGCCTTTTACTGAATTTGGCCTTGGTGTTGGTTATACGTTAAGACACAGTGAAGGATGTTGTAAGAAACAGCCCTATGAAAAATTTGTCAGCCCATACTGGAGAAGTGTCCACTTCATTACATAGTGACTTCTTTGTGAGAATTTACAAGAGAATTTTCTTCCTGGTTTCCCAACCAGAAATAATTATGCTACTCTTGAGCTACTAGCTTGTTTTTATCTTCTAAACACTATGAATCATGTAACTGATCATTTTTCCTTCTCGATTTTGTCTGCCAAAAATCGTAGAGGTAAATTTGTGGTCAGTTGTTAGCAGGAGTACAGGACCTCACAATTTCTACTTTGTGTAGTAACCCTATTTCCAGCTTCATTGTTGAATAAGTAAAGAACAAGGGAGCCAGGGTAATTGAGTCCGAGCCCCAAAACTCTACCACTTATTATTTGCTTGGTCTCAATCACTTCTCCAGGCCTCAGTTCCTCACATGGGAAGTAGAAAATAAGAGGATCCACTTTATGAGGTTATTGTCAGGATTAAATGAATTCCTATCTGCAAAGTACAGTACCTACCACACTCTTCTACTAGTTTTTAATATAATTTTCTTAATGAGCATACACACACACACACACACACACACACACACACACACACATATATATATATATATATATATATATATATATATATCACCTTAAATTCTTTCTGGAACAAAACTGGGTATAAACAAAAGCAAATAATTGGAGATTATAGAAAATGGATATATAAATGTAGCAAGTGAAAGTATTAGAAGTAACATAGGCAAATATTTATATTTTACAAAAACAAACTTACACAATAACCACAAAATAGAGTATCAGTTAAATAGACTTCAATCAAGCACTCATGCCTTTCAGAAGCTAGTAGAAATCTGATCATGCCTTGATTTGCTCCCAATTACAATTTGGATGATGGGTTTCTTTGAGAAAGGGCCCCCTGTTAAACCACAAAACTGTTCAAAGATTGCCACCGGGAGACTACATGAAATTCTTAATAGACAGGCACAAAGGAAAGGGATTTTCCCTGCGTTAGCTTTGATTAGAGAGTCTGGCCTCTGAAGCAGTATCCCTCTGACTGCTGGACTGAAAAGGCAAGGCTACCTTTTCTAGTATGCTTATAAAATATTGATTCGGATAACATAAAAGTCAGGTACCTGCCATAGAGAGAGGATAGAAAGAATGTTAAAAAGCACTGAAACATTTTATTCCTGACACTAAAGGTAAAATAACAATCTCATGTTTTATTTCTCTGTGATTGAAATAGCACTGCTGATGTGCATTCTGCAGTCTATTTCTCTTCAACTTATTTTCTCTCATGCTTCTCTCCAACAACAACTAAAGGGCTAACCTTGGACTTACTTAGGTCAGAGATCAGCAAAAGGATTCTGTTCTGTGCAAAAATACTTCCTTCAAACTATTACTTGCTATAAACTAGAACTTTGTTCATTAGGCAAAAACACAGCATGTTTTCTCTTCATAAAAATGTCTTAGACTAAAGAACAACAAAAAAAGAAAATGTCTAATATTAAACTTTATCAACCACATTGAGATAACTATTTGATTTAACCAAAAACAGTTTTCAATAAAGGAAAGAAGTTAGTCAACAAGGACGCCACACCCACTATGGGCTCACGGGCACTGGCAATACAACAATGAAATATTTCCTCATGGAACATCCTAATGAATGGAGACCAAGAATAACAATGTGCTTGAAGATAAGGGGGAAAATTCATCAAGAAGAGGACAGCATGATGGGAGAAAGGCTGGAACAGAGAGGTACTGCTGAGATAGTAGAGTCAGGAAAGTGCTCACTGATAAAAGAAATCACAAGAGGCAAGTGATGGATTTTAGGTGAGAAAGAAAAACCACCAGAAAAGCCAGAATAGGGACCCTGGAGTTAACTTTGCTCATTGCTGAACAGGAGTCAATTTCTGAGTCCTAATTTGGCTCTGTCAACTCCCTGCCCTGCTTAACCTCATCTTTCAGATGAAGGTAATAATGTTTGCCCTGTCTGTACCTTGGAGCTACTGTTGTTCAAGTCAGTGTTTAGAGAATATTTTGGGCCTCACAGGCAAGAAACATTAGGAAAAGTACAAGGTACAATTATGTTATTTTCCCCGTATTTTTCTATTTCTTTCAGTTCTGGCCTTTTTTTTTTTTTCCCCAAAGTAAGACAAACAAACAGCTGGTGGCCTGTTTCTCTCTCTGAGAGCCAGCTTCATTGGTGAGTTTATACATTCCTCATCTTATCAAGGCCAGTCATGAGATCATCCCCTATTCTCAAAGGTCAAGATCAACGTAAAACTATAAAAGAAAATCTACTGTTTAAGGCAAACACTCTTGCTAAACTATTGCTTGTATGTAAGCATTTACATAGAACTCATTCTCAGAAAAACAAAAATCACAAGTTGTCACTGAGTCCTTGAGGTAGGAACAATGGCTGTGTAAATAAAAGCCCTGCAGCAGCTTCTTTGCTTGGTATATAGACTGTTCTAAAGAGGTGAACAAAATCCTATGAGAAATAACTTACTTTTTCTGGGTCTGTGCAATTCAGTTCAACTCTTCAAGCCCTCAGATTGTATTTTACCTTCTTTCCCTCTTCTTTTCACTATAACAATAGAAGGTGGCTAACCTAGAGGAAACAAGATGATACCACTATGTAAGGGAGTTGGAGCCCTGGCCAGGGAGCTACCCGCATGGCGCAGCAGACCTCTCCTGTCTGACCCGCTACTCCCCTTAGCAGTGTATTTCAGTAAATCCGTCTGTTCTGCTCCCCACTGCCTCTGGTGAATCCTCTCATATCCCCCCCACACCTCTGGTCTTCACCCAGTTCTTGTATGCATAAATAAACCTTTTAAAAAAATAAATAAAAACAAGGCATTGTCTACAAGAAAGTCACTTTAAATATAAAGTTATATACAGTTATGTTTCACTTAACATTTCATTGAATGACAGAACTCATATATGATGGTGGTCCCAATAGGCTACATAATACAGCCTCAGTGTGTAAGGGCTGTGTGCTTCTATGACGGTCACTCAGTTATCAAAATCACCTAATAGTTGTTTGAGTGTATGTATATGTGTATGTGTGTGTGTGCATCTATGTTTGTGTGTATATACATATAAGAAATTGAATCAAAAGTTAATGGCTTTTCAAAAGAAAAAATACTAGGTCCCAAAGAATTCACTGGTAAATTCTGTCAAATATTTAAGGAAAAATCATATCAACTCTCTATAATCTGTTTAAGAAGAAAAAAGCAGAGAAAATGCTTTCTAGCTCATTCTAGGAGGCCAGCAATACCATAATACCAAAACCAAACAAAGACATTACAGGAAAACTAAAGATCAAATATCTCTCATGAACATAGGTTTTCTTTATAATCCTCAACAAAATGTTAGTAAATCAAATTCTACAGTATATAGAAAGATTAGAAATCTCAACCAAGTTTGATTTATCCCAGGTAGGCTGGTTCAACACTCACAAAAAATCCAATTAAAGTAAAAGCAAAAACTTAAAGTTTGAAAAGTAAAAGCAAAGGCTGAAAAAGTAAAAGCAAAGGCTGAAAAAGTAAAAGCAAAAGCTGAAAAAGTGAAAGTAAAGTTTAAAAGTAAAAGCAAAGGCTGAGAAAGCAAAAGCAGAGACTGAGAAAGTAAAAGCAAAGGCTAAGAAAGTAAAAGCAAAGGTAAAAAAAAAACCAGAACTCTGAAAAGTAAAATTAGAGGTTGAAAGAAAAGTAAAACTTGAAAAAGTAAAAGCAAAAGCAAAAAAAGTAAAAGTAAAAGTTAAAAATGTAAACATGATTCATCACAAGTTAAAGAAGAAACAAATCACACAATCCTATCAATAGATACAGGAAACACACTTTAAAAATCTAATGCCTATTTATGATTTTTTTGTATTTTGTTTTTTTACCACACAACCACCACAGCACATTAATCCTCTACCACAGTTCATTGGTCCCCTCCCTACTTTGCTCCTCACTCTCTCCCTCCCATTCTGGTAGCCTCATTTCTACAGTCGGATTTCTATGGCTTGTTTTGGTTTTATTTTGTCTGTTCATTTTTTTCATATTACACTTTTTAGTGAAATCAATTTCTAACTTATTTCTTTTAGCACAATTCCCTCCAGATCCATCCACACCACATCTTCCTAAACCACTCATCTGTCTTTAGACACTTACCTTGTTTGCATACCTTGGCTACTGTGAACAGCAAAGCCTTTAATGATTTTTAAAACTCTTAGCTAATAATAGAGAGTTACTGCCTCATCTTGATTACACACACAAGCGCATGCACACGCATACACACACACACACACACACACACACACACGACCTGAGGGCTACATTACACTCTTACGGTAATTAGGAAACTTGAAGCTTTTCCAGGAAGATAAGGAGCAAGGCAAGGACACCCTCTCATCACTGCTTTTCAACATTGTAACGGAAATCCTAGCTAAGGCAATAAAGGAAATTAAAGGTATCCAGATTAGGAAGGAAGAAATAAAAACTATTCTTGTTCACAGATGACAAAGCTGTCTTTGTAGTAAACTGTAAAGAAATGAACAACAACTGAGGAATTTTCTCAGTATGGGAAAATTCCTATAAGAAAATATAACAAAATTGCAGAATACAAGGTTAATGTACAGAAGTCAATTAGCCTCTATACTAGGAACGATTTGAAATTTAAAAACCCACAATATTATTTTCATTAGTATCCCAAAATGAAATACTTAGCTATAAGTCTAACAACATAGGTTTAATATCTATGTGAGGAACATGAGAGAACTGAAAAACATACAAAACTCCACTTTTTGATCTGCCCTTTGATCTGCCCTATCTGTCCAATTCCATTTTCATCCACTTCTGCCCTCATTCTCCCCCCACATATCATACACATATTATGTATTAGTCATACTCAACAAATGCCAGTTCCTGAAAAATCTTCACATTTTTTATATCTTCTGCCTTTACATATCACTATTCTAACAAGCTTTGAATAGTAGTGGCTATTATCAGCTGATATAAAGGACCATAACAACTAGTATGGCCATCTCTAAGCTTAATGAAGAATATAAAGTCAGGTACGACATGCTCACTCTCAAAGGCAAGACCACCTCCATTCCAAAACATCTCTTTTCCAGATCTTTGACTAACCTCTCTCCTAGGGTCCCTTTTCTGCTAGTCACTTGCTTGACTTCTCAGTCGCACTCACTGTTTACCCTCTGCTAAAGCACACGGCTCTCCCAGCTTCATTCACATGACATTGTCCTTGTCCTCCCTTCCTCACCGTCCCTGCCTAATCTAATCTGCACATTTCCCTCTCTTGCTTGACCTCTAAACATTAGTGTAACACACAACTCCATCCACAGCTTTCTTCCTCTGTTCCTCTCTACCTGCAGTCTGGGTAAGTTTTGGATAATCTTACTCATTCCCAAGACTCCAAATGCCATCTACTTGTAAATGACTGTAGGGTAAGGTAAAAGGTATCAGGCTTTTCTGCCCTCCCGCCATCAGGATAGATGAGGGAACCCTGTGATCCTGAATGCATGCCTGATGGCAGGCACCTGAAATGGGTACACCTGCGCTAAGACTGTGCTTTTAAGGGAGGCGTCACAGGGATGCCAGAAGCCGAGAAAGCAGCAGCAGAAGCCGAAGAGAAGCCGAGATCACCAGAGAGCCCAGATAGAGTGAGGATTTGCTGGGGGCTGGGAGGCCTGCCAGCCTGGTGCCTGCCATATGCCTGGTGAACCCCAATAAAAGACCTGCAAAAAGCCACTGAGGACTCTGACTCCTCCTTTACCCGGTCTGCATGGGATCAGGAAACCTGCACCTGTCTATTCCTGACTTTACAATGACTCTCACATTTAGACACTCAGCTCCATCTTCCTTGTCAGTGTCAGGCTCCAGATTCATTTGTCCAACTACCTATTTGACATTTCCTTTGAAGAGTTCTAAATGACATTTGAAATGCAAAACTAAAGTTTCTATCTCTCCTCCCCCACAAAGGATCTCCATCCTCCCCCATCTTCTTTCTGTTCCTTCTGCCTGGAATACTGTCTCCCAGATATTTATGTGATTGGCCCCTTCCTGTCATTTAAATCTACACTTGAATCTTACCTATAAAAGCCAGTTCTTGAAATTCTTTCTGTTCTTATTTACAACAGCTAAGTCTAGTTTAGGTGATTGTATGCATGGTGGTTCTCTAAAATAAGACAGGAAACACATGAGGAAGAATGAGTTTTGGTGAAAATTATTTTAATTTAGAAACTGTTGAGTTTAAGATAACCTGCCCCTCAGGCGGATTACAAGATGGGACTGGTCCTCAGGGAAGAGATAAGGCTGACTGCAGGAGAATGGCAGGTTTGCCTCAGGAAAAAAAAAATGTAAAAGGACTAATGGGAGAGCACTATGAAATGCCACCCATTTCACTGATGAGTGTAGGAAAAGTTACCAAATAGGGCCAGGGGAATAAGAAGAGGTAGGAAATCCAGGGCAGAAAGGGGGCACAAAGCAAAGAAGAAATACGTTTCCAGAAGAACAGAGAGATAGGCTTCAGTAGCAAATGAAGTGTAAAAAGACTAAAAAGGGTTCATTGCTTTTGGCATTGAGAGGTCCAACCACAATGCATTAGAGCTAGAGTGGGGGCAATGACACCAGGCTGCTGATTTTCTATCTGTCTTCACCAGATTTTAAGCCCCATGAGGGTAGAGCCCAATCTTTCCAGTATATTCACTTTTTTTCAGAACTCACTAGAGTGCTTAACTCACAGTAGGTACTCCTAATCCCCAAAAGCACTTGCCAGTGAATGAAAGGGAAAGTTTGGGGGGAAGGAGAGGAGAACAGGGAAGGCAGCATAAGAAGAAAAAGGGAGAGAAAATGGATAAAGGAAAGGAAATGGAAAAGAGGAAACAAAACAAGGAACGGCAGTGCATAGATGGAATCTAGTTGTGTTCCAGATGGGACCCTCATGAGCATATCTACTGTAGAGGCAAAACAACCCAATAGGGAGTTTTAAGACAGGAAAAAAGACAGACAAAGTTCTGAGAGCAGGTAGGAGAGGGGATCAAGAACTAGTGGAAACAGGAATTTTATATGGATAACTCAAGGAACACTAAGTTTTAAGATTGACAGAATGTCATTAATAAAACACAAATGATCTAAAAAGGATGATTTTCAGCTATTAATTGGTTTAGTGATGTAATTATGTGACACAGCTAAAATTTATATCCAATTTTATATTCTTGACTAAATCCTTAATTATCCTAGTTATAATTTGTACTTGTTCCATTATTCCCTTCAGTTTTTAAGAAAAACTTTCTACTTTAGCTATAAAACATCACCTCTCGAGGTTAGATGGAAACAGCAGATTAAGGAATGGATATGCTGACTTTTCACATAGAATAAATGAATCTCATTTTCTTAATTGTTCTTCTTTGCCCATATCAGGACCAACAGAGAGGGACAGAAGAAACAGAGAAATAAGGTTTGTTGTTTGCTGTACAAAAGATTCCAGTCTGTCTCATCTATTTTAGTCCATGTCCTTTAAGGAATGTAAACTTCTCCCCACCTCCCATTACAGAAAAAGAAACTGAATAGTTACTAAACTCGACTGCAGTGCTGTGCTAATATAACCAGACTTCTTTTTACCACACTGAACTGTCATAACCTTTGTCCTGTGCATTTCTACCCAGAGAACAAGGCTCTACTGATTTCATTGTGCTTTTCTAAAACCTTATTTTGACCTAAGGAAACAAATCTGAGTTTACCTAATTTGATTCTTAGTTGAATACAGGCAAGAAATAAAAATTTATTTCAGCCTTCAAACACTAGCTGCCTAACCTAAGACCTCACATCAGATGCCTTATCTCTGTTTCATGAGACATTAGTCAGAGCTGACCTTAGAGATCATGGTTTTGTAAGAAGATAGTGAGGCACAGGAAGCTGGAGGGCTGACTACATGCCACAAATTATCAACAAAGTTAGGACTGGAGCACATGTTTCCTTATCCCTAGAACAAATAGGCTTAATTTTCAATTGATCAATTGATTTTCAGGGTGCCCTTAAAAAAAATACACATGACTAAAAAGCTATGCTTCAAAGTATAGTGAATCCCATGTGAATCTTCTAAAATAAATTTTGAATTCTACTTCTCAATCATACCCACTTTCACTGATTAAGAACTTTGATAACCAGAATCCATATTCCCATGCGGCTTTGGGGTCTTTAATGTCCTGTCATATCTCCTACAGTAAGGATAGGCACTCTGAACAAAGAGGAAGTTTGCTTTGGTCTACTGAATTTGCAGAGCTAATATATCTAGAGAGAACTTGGAAATAAATGGCTTACTAGGATTTCATGGTTGCTTTTTTTTTATGTGTAGATTTCTGCCACATGAGCAACTGAGAGCTCTGGGATAGGTACTGTGGCCTGTGCCCCCAGCATCACATACCCCTTCCTTCCTAATCACGTGCCCTCAGAACCTCTCAGCCCAAAGGATCTTGTCCCAGCACCATGGGGACTCTGACAACTCACCCAGGCAGGCTGCCTCTGCCTGCAGCCACTAGCTTCCACCTGGGGCTCGCCAGCACTCCCAAACACCTGTTTACTCCCAGCCTGCTTCCTCCCTCCAACAGTGCAGAGCAGGCTTCACACCCCAGATTTCTTCTGACCAGTGGGAGCTGGTAACCATTGGGTTGTTTTTCCACCTTTCCCTCCAACCCACTATTACCCTGAACTCAGTCTCTCTCAGAGACAAAAGCAAATCCCTTTTGCCTTCAAGCACACCAAACTCAATCTTTTGAGTCTTTGAACCAAATTCTTGGGTTTTTTTGGGAGTTGTCAAAATTAGGGGTTGCAGATCTCAAGAGCAGAATGAAGAAAGGAAACAATTATGAAAGCTTGACACACATGGATCATCCCACTGAAGCTAGAGACACAACCCTCACTCACAGCTGACACATTAAAGGAGAAACGGAGGCCCAAACAAATAATCCCTTAAATTCTCCTTTAAGTCCTCTTATCATCCACCAGAGCTTTCTCTAGTCCTGTGAAATGTGTCTGGTAAAATTTCTCTGCCCAATCTACCTGCACTTTTAAAATGCAAAACGTTCCCTTTTTGCTTTTTTTTTAATAACAGTCCCACTCTCTTTTTCTTTTTTTCTCAAATCTCTTCCCTCCAGTTTCTGCCTATATGACACCGACTCTGTGCCTCCTCTCCAAACCTCCACCATAAGCAACATAACGCCATAAACGTAAACAACACTAGCACTTCTGGAAGCTTTCTAGGCGTGCAAATACCTTAGGAAGTGCAGATTGCGTCAGAATTCATCTTCAGCAGTGGTTCTCGAGGTGTGGCCTTGGGAGCAATATCG